CCCATCTAGCAACTTCTGATCGCTCGGCAAGAGTTCGCATAAGTGATGCAGCCTGCAGTCATCAGCTTTGGTATGATTGGCACACATGAATCGCCGGCGCACCCGGGTCTTTGCATTACAATGCCAGCTGTAGACGGCGACGCGTCTATACAAAAGCGGAGTCGCGAACGCATTCCAATTACGATTCACAGATGCACAGAGTACGAGGCTACTCTCAGGTAACGGAGTGAGTATTGGAAGTAGAAGTTCTGGCGGCAGGCTGTGGAAGGTCGCCATCGAGTTGTGCGTTCGACATGTGAGCGACGCCTAACTTCTTCACATATCGGCTTTACGATTCCACCACATCGGTGTTAACCGGCCGGTGTCTGAGCAGTTTGATGGGGAACAGTTGTGGCTTCGCACCGCCAAACACTACATTCAATCATATAAAGATAGATCATATTACAGCCGGCTGTGGGAGATATAGACGACCAACATGTCCATAATTGGTCCTCACTTGTGATAAGACCACCCTCGGAAGGCTGAAGTGAACGCTCTCTTTACCTGTTGATGTAGAGTTTACAGGCATTTCGAGTCAATTTCCTTCGGCCTCTGGGTGCCTGGCAGTCCATGCAATTCCCCGGAAAGTGTGGTATGCTCGAAGCATAAGTAAGCTACATGGAGGGCGAGCTCAGTCTTATGACGATGGTGCGGCACCTCCTTGCCTCCCAAGTTCCAATAACTTCCCTCAAGGCCACATCGTCCGATATGCTTCAAGAAGGCCAGTCCGATATCCTTCAGGAATGACAGTCCGCTGTTCTAGAACTACAGACGTCGTGTCGGTCTCCCGGTCCCACCTGCGCACCACCTACCCAATTAGCATACACAAAGCCGCTGAGCAACTGACGCATACCTCATAAACCTCGTGGAATTCGCCGATGTGTTTCAGCGTAGAGGAACACGTTTCTGCAAGGTCTCTTAGTCTCGAAAGCGGGATGAGCTCGTGCGTCGTGATTAGGCGAATTAAGGGGTCGATGGGAAAGGACATGTGTAGCTTGCGTAGAAATGGAAGCGATTTCGCGGAGATCGCTTCTCCCAGACGCGGCTAAACACCAGGCACCAGTCAGCTCGATGTTTGCGGTGAGAGAAGTTGGACGAACCCAGTCGAATTCTTCTCCAGGTATAATCAATACCTCGAGCTTCGGACAATAAGCTGCAAGCACCTCCACAGCTTCCAACGGTGTAGGTAACCGGATAATCACGATCTCCCTAAGTGTTTGTGCATGTCTACGCGCAAGGCTGCGTACGAATGATGCGCTGAACTCGCAGTCGCTGGGGGCAGGACCGTATGCGTACAGCGAGTGGTTTGCAGATAGGGAGAGAGATAGTGCTGTCAACGGAGACTCGGCGGTCAACTCTAGTATCGCATCGAAGAACACTTGGGGCGGTGAAGGTGGGGCAGGCAGCGTGAGCGTAAGTGACTTGAGCCTCGGCAGTTTGAGTCCCGTTGCCAGCTCCTTCAGGTCGAAATCAGGGCTAATCCTCTCCAGACAGAGATCCTCCATCCTGAAAGAGCATCCCCGTAATATAGTGTAAACACCGATATGATCTGCGTTCGGACAGTCGCGAAGATGAAGAGACTTGAGTTGCGTGAGATACGGTGCGAGCTTGGTGAGCTGCTTGCTTCCGATGTAGTAATTTGTTGACTGCGATCCGCGTGTTCAGGGATCGTCGTTCTAACAATCGACAAGATTGCGCACCTGGCATATGATCTTAAGCTCGTGGAGACCAATCTCTGTTCCTCGTTCCTCGTCTGTACCCTCTACACACATCGCTGTCAACCATCGTAACAGGACATCGATGGCAGCCTTGTCTGGCATCGTCAGCCTGAGTGCTCGAATCTGCCGCACACGGATGAGGTCGGCAGGTTCATAAGTGCCTGGATGTGCATTGATCTCAAGCCTCTGAAGTCGGGGCAAGCTCGCGAGAGCGATGAGTATTTGGCTTGTTAATGCATTGTGTACCCTGATCGGGACTTGTCAACACTCCGCCACTGAGTGAGGAATACTCACTGCCATGTACAAGACTCGAGGTTCACACAGTTCGCCAGTCCCTGCGCGCAGCATTGAAATACCGCATCTTGCTCCTCCTCTTGCCTTAACTCGTTTTCGAAGCCGTCATAGAAGTCTAGTACATCAATACGCTTCACCCATCTAGCGACTTCTGTTCGTTGGGCAAGAGTTTGCATAAGTGATACCGCCTGCGGTCATCAACCTCAGTACATGATTGGCAACCCTGATCAACTGGCCCACCCTGGTCTTCGCATAGCGCTGCCAGCGGTAGACGGCGACGCGCCTGTACAAAAGCGGAGTCGCGAACGCATTCCAATTACGATTGACAGATGCACATCGTACGAGGCTACTCTCCGGCAACGGCGTGAGTATTGGAAGTAGGAGTTCTGACGGCAGACTGTGGAAGGCCGCCATCGAGTCTGGCGTCAGTGGACAAGTCATCAACGCCCCACTTCTCCATGCATCGGCTCTAGGACTCCACTATATCGGTGTTAACCGGCCGATGCTGTGCATAGCGTCTGTTGGAGAATCGAGATATCGTAACATCAAACACTAGGTTCAATCATATAGATACAACTTCTAAGCTATGGTTGGTTATGGAAAGGGAGAATACCTACACCTCCGTAGATTGGGCGTCACTCGTGGTGGCACCGTCGTCGGAAGGCTGACAGCTCTCTTAGGGGGCATATCTGAGGATGTACAGTTTTTCGGTAATCGGAGAGATTTTTTTCCCGGTTCTGATTGCCTAGCAGCCAAGAAATCGGCGTGAATAGCGCGGTCTTCTTAAAACTCCATCAAATGAGAAGATGAAGTCACATGCAGGCGAGCTGAGTGCTGTGAGGGTATATATTGGGCTGGTATAGGAGACAGACAGAACTTGGCCGCACAGGGCGAACACTTGGTTGCTGGAACGTGGAAATGTGTTACTTCAAAAGGGTCGTTATGCACTGGACTTCCGGTACCTCTCTGCTCAGAAAAGGGACGCAGAATGAGTGGATACTGTTGAAGGTACTCACAAACAATGGAAATCAATCTGATGACAAGCTAGACATCCCGCACGTCTGGAACCTCTTCCTCATCTTTTAGGGAGCCACCGCTCTCGAGAATAGTATCCGAGTAATTCTCGCTCCCGTTGGGGGAGGCGCTTCTATGCTCCGAGTCCACACTCGGGGGAGTCGAAGCTATTGGAGGGGGAAAATCTTGTTCGGGTGACTCATTGTTGACGGAAGTCAGTCGACCAAGGGTTCTGGAGACACGTTCGCTGTTCGACGGCTCGGTGGAATGTTGAAATGCCGGTTCTCGTGAAACAAAGATTGGAGAAGATGGGGCATCATCGGGTATGTGGTCCGGTGAAGGCGCGTCAGTGATGTCCTGGAGTGGTTGTAGTGGAGTACTTCGCGGGTTTGCACCTGGGATACCCGATAAGGGCAGCGGGATACCCGTTAAGGTCAGCGGGACCCCCGTTAAGGGAAGCGGGATACCCGTTAAGGGCAGGGGGATACCCGTTAAGGGCAGGGTAGCAGACGCTAAAGTGCCGCCTTGTCCAGGCTCGACAGGCAGAGCATAACCATTTGTCCGCATCCTTCCAGGTGCTTGCACCGGTTGGGAGTCGTTCCTTACTTGAGAGCTCGGCTGTGCTGGGACATCCGGCGATGGGTACGAAGAGTGGACCGATCCGCCATAGCGATACACCGTTCCTTCTGATATCGTCGAGCCTTGGATAGATTGTCGATTAGGAGGACGTGCCGGGCCGGGGTTTTCGGGCGGAACGGAGTTAATGGATAAGGGAGCTGGAGAACTGGTCAGCGAGCCCCCGTTCATGTAGATCGTGCCAATCGAAGCTGGGGTGCCTAAAAATGCCCCGGGAGGCGATTCCTGCCGTGAAGGACGAGCTGGTCTCTTGGCTGTGTCGTCTGCCAAGAGCGGCTTCGGATCGGGATTCGATGGGTACTCGACGACGAAAGCCGGCGAATCGGATTCTGGGAGAGAGTGCATCGGGTGCCACCAGTCTGGAAGTGGAGCGCAGTTGGGTTTTGCCCCAGTTTGGCAGGACGTCGCTTGCCAGTGAGGGGAGTGAAGCTCGATGGCGAGCAAAACGGAATGCTCCATATAGCTTCTCGTTGTCTACATATCGTTTCTCCCCAGAACTCAGTTTCAGCCAGCAAAGTCCAAGGAGCGACTCACCTCCAAACGTTCGAGTTTGCCAACAACATACGCGTCTCTCTTCCCCCGCCGGCGCTTGGAGTCGATATACTTGCTGATGATATCTACTGCTTTTGGAATGTCTTCGCCAGACTTAAGCTTGTCGAGCCTGGCTGTGACTTCGGACTGGGTCTTCCGGTGGAAGAATAGCATGTTGATGCAGAGGTGGGGGAGAATAGGCGCCGAGGTAGACGCAGCTTTTCCAGGAGGGGGGTTGTTGATGGGGTGATGGGAAATAAGAGAGACAAGGAACCAATTCCGGTGTTCGGGTTGCAGATGTGGCGGAGCAGCGTCGTACAGCTCGGTGACCAAAGTGAGGTGAGAGTACTCGTACAACAGCAGATGTAGATCAAGAAGCCCGTAGATCCCGAAAGGAAAGAGTATTCGCCCCTCTAGCAAAAGACGCAAGTTCCAAACCCAGCAGACCTCAGCCTCAGCAAGCCTTCATGGTCGTTCGACAAATAGTACTCGACTCTTTTGGGAGACACCGGTGCACAGCCTTTTCGCGGGATCTCACATGACTGACAATCATTCATGATAGATGTCGGAGGACAACCTCCTCCGGGATTAGACAACGGACAGTGAACTGGGATGTCATGACCCGTGCAACTCGGGATCCTGTCAAACTGCGGAACAACCCAAACACTTACCGTCTACCGTATGCGCAGTCTGGCACTTTCAGGTCTGTGTTACAGAACGGCTACATGTGGGGACTGGCTGAGGGTACGGTAGACTGGCTGTGCTCGGACTTGTAGCACATGTACAAAAGAGGTTTGGGATGGGACAGTAGCCCGGGCCGAAACAGGAAAGGAGTGGGAGGTGTATAAATAGTGCCTGCGTGCGAACAGGGTTGGAACGTGTCTCGGACGAAAGACTGTCACAGGCTTGTGGAGTCAGCGAAAACCCCGAGGGGGGTGTGGAATTCCAGAAGTTCCAGAATTTCTGGAAAGGGCGGGAGAGCGCTGCGTGCTGGCTGGGAAGGGAAAGGATACGCATATGCATATGCGTGTGCACGTTGTTTTCGGCGTAAGGGCTGAAGTGTTGCGTGGTTAGAGGCGCAGACTGATGGGACACGTGGAGCGTGGATCCTTGAGATCTGGAGGGAGCGGTGATCGGCCCGGTCCGGCACGTGCAACTTGTGGCCGGAAGTGGTATGCAGTTGCTGGAGAGAGAGGAAGAGCGACCCGGGTTGAGGGGGAGTGAAGATCTTCGTGGTCTGAAGAGCAGGGTTGATCCAGGTACGGGGCACGAAGGTCCCAAAGAAAATATGTGGTGCCGGACGAAAATAAGTGCGATCAGAGGAGAGAATGAGGGTCTGTGAGCTAGTTGTCGAGTACGCATGGATGATGTTGAAAATGTGCGGGGGAGTGCATATGCTTGCTGAGGAGTCTGTAAACGTGCCGGAGTGATACTGTCACGCGTTATGGGGATGAAGCGCATGGTGAATGTGGATTGATGAGATTCTTAAGGGGGAAGTGTGGTGCACGTGTTGTGTTGTGCCACTGGCAGGAGGACGGGGTTTACGGTTGGAAGTTGTTGAGAGCCGGCGGTGAGCGTCCCGTGGTAAACGCCTAGTCGGGAATCGAAAGTGCTAGTGGTACCGAAGCCATCCAAGAGGAATGTTGCGGTCACACGATCAGATCATGCTCCATTAATGTCCAGAAGAGCAGAGTGAGCTACTGGTTGTAGGCAGTCAATTGCCGAAATTAGGGTCTTTGGGTGTGCATGCCCGATCCGGCACACGATCGAGGAAGCTTTTCGTTTCGTGTGATGGACGACTGTCTGATGGGCGCGCTGTTGACCTTTCAGTCTGGAACACAATTTGCGCCCTCTTTTGTGTGTGAGGGGATGATACGGCGGATGGGATGCCGGGTATTCCTATTACGGGTGTGGGTCTAGAGTGTACGGCTAATGGGTAAGGCACGTTCTGAATGGAGTGATGTGATTGGATGGCCGATGTATGCCCGTGTGTTGATGTGTAAATGTAAAGTGAGAGCTCTTATACTAGAGTTACCCTTCTCTTCCACTTCCCCTCCCTTCCCGGGTTACTCCCTCTCTCTTTGATTGGCGCAGTCCCTGAATCTATCCTACCACTTCCGGTGAGATACCCGTCATGCACTCCCCTAATGCACGACAACATCCACATCCACCACCACCACAAACACCCTCCCTCACTCTCACTCTCCCTCAACAACGACACACAATGTCCAATTTTCGTGACTTACCAGGCGCAGCTTTCCGCATGGATACCCAGTTGGAGGTAACTACCGTCCTCGCCAACTGTGGGGACAACGTCGGCCTCGCTTCAAGGGCTATAAGACTCTGGATAGAGTCGAAACAGAGAAAAGGACGAGCAGAAACGGACATAATAGCCAAAGTGGAGGGGATGGAGGTGCGCATTCTTTCATATTAGGCGCATATACCGCATATATGCTCATATATACAGAGGAAATATACATTCGACGCAAGTCTACACGAGGCATTTCATGCCGCACGAGCAGAAACAGGTCTCCCAAGATCAAAAGTCCTCCCTCCCTCTCGTCGCGTCCGAGAAGCGGAAGAAAGAGAGCGTCAAGCTGCAGGCGGATCTCCCACCACTCCAACAGCGCCTTCCATCACTGCCTCAGGATCCCATTTCCCGCTCCCTAACAGCCCTGTCCAGCTCTCGTCTCCGCACAGTTTCCCCACTCCGAGCTTGACGATAGGGAGCAGTGCACCCAGTTCGAGCCTCGCTAGTCCTAGCCTGGGGGGTGGACACCCGCACCATAAGCAGGAGGAGAGGACGTACACCGCTCTCCAGGGAGAATGGCACCCATCCCATCCCTACCCTTCCCAGGAGATGCATATGCAAATGCAGGCCCAAGCGCGCTATTCCCCAGAATCACACTTGCCTTACTTGCGCACTCCTTCACCCGCGCCGACGGGCAGCACACGCCGTTGGTCCCAGGGATCGTACGAGACGATCACTTCGGGCGGGATGACAGATGCGTCGGAATCGATCTACTCGTTCGCGACGGGTTCGACGGGCTCGACAGGGGCGAGCGGGTCTTCAGGCGCTTCACTCGAAGAAGAGGACGGGGAAAGCGTGTTTAGAGCATATGTTTCAGGCGGGTTCCCGATGACTAGAACGACGGCGCAGACCCCGAGACTGAGGGAGGGCGGGAGTCCGGCGGTGTCTTTGAGGGCGAGGGGGTTCCCTCTCACTAGAACGGGGACGAGTGGGTTGGGGAGGACGAGAGACGGCTGGGGGCAGGCACAGGCGCAGGCACAGCAAACGCAGGCACCGGGGCAGAGTGAGGGTGAGAGAGCACAGAGTAGAGCGAGTGAGGCGAGCTCGGGTTCTGGCACAGGGACGGACGAGAGTCTGAGAGATTGGAGAGCTGCGGTGGACTTGATCGAGCAGTTTGTATGTCCCTTTCCTACCTCACGCTACTGCTACTTTGTGGGAACGTACTTATATGCGTACCTAGCCCTCTACGCCCACTTCCCGAGCACCTCCACACCCACACCCACACGAAGACGGAGGTGTCACCCCCCGGCCACATCCAGGGCGCCTCCAAGTCCGGCAACAACAAGCCCGCCCAGACTCGCCCTTGATCACATTCTCCCTCCCCCCCGCAGCTCTGAGCGCGGCAGAACAGAGCAGTCTAGCTCGCTCGCCTACCACGCCAACGTCAACGCCAACGCCTTCGTGGGTGATTCCTAACCCTTCACCTACGAGCAACGCTCATCCGCAAGTACAAGGTCAACCGCACGCATTCGGACCTCGACCACGCCCGCCTTCGGGTCAAAGACAACTAGTCTCCCCTCTCTCGCCTCCAGGGAGTCATAGCAGGTCCAGCTCTAGCTCCAGCTCGGCACCATCCGAAAAACTCCATCAGGGAACTTCCCCTGTCTCCCCTATCTCCCCCCGAATAGGAGGGGCGAGCACCTTACAGCGGCAAGCCTCTGGCAGGCTAGTGAACGGCAAAAGCCCCTTGCACCAGTCTTACCCCCCAGCCCACAACAGCGGCGTAGGCGCAGGCTCAGACGAATCATTCCCCTCCCCTAGCTCTCCCTTCCCCCCAGCACCAGGAATCGCAGTCTCAGTCCAAACATCTAGAACTCCAACGCCTAACACCGCAACCGCAAGCCCCATAAGCCCGTACACCGCAGTCTCCGCCTCCCTAGCCTCAGGCTATTCCCCCAGCACCTACACTCCCTCCCCCTCCTCCTACTCCGGAACGGCAGGGTCGAGACTCTCTGCAGCGTCCGCAGGCTCAGGAAGCTCGGGTTCGGGAAGCGGGAGACATGTAATGAGACATCAGGTTTCGAGGGAATCTGTGCGCAGTGTGGATACGTTGCCGCCCCCGGCGTATAGTCCTATTGACCCGAGGTTGATGGACGCTTTGGGGATTTAGGGGGGAAGGGGGGGAGGATGCGCTCCGAGGAGAGAAGGGTAGAGAACGGTGGAATGCGTGGGAGGTTGGGGAGAGTTGCCTGCCTGCCTGGGACGGGGACCAGGGACAGGGAGTGAATCCTTCCTCCGGATGGGAGAACTTGAGCCGACGCCTGGAGATGACGCCTCTCG